ACTTGCTAGATCAGATGGATTTAATAGATATTTACACAGAATGACACCTCGAAACTGAAGAATACATATTCTTCTCAAATGAACATGGGACATTCTCAAACATAGACCACAAGTTAGGACACAAACTAAATCTCTACAAGTTCAAGAAGACTGAAATCATACCAAGCATCGTCTCAGATCACAATGGCATGAAAACTAGAAATTAATTACAACAAAAACATTCATATATATGGAGGCTAAATAGCATTTTATTAAACAATGAATGGGTTACCAAGGAAATCAAGGAAGAAATAAAAAACTGCCCTGGCCGGTTTGGCTCAGCGGTTAGAGCGTCGGCCTGCGGTCCAGAGAGACCTGGGTTCGGTTCCCGCTAAGGGCACGTACTTCGGTTGCAGTTTGTCCCTGGCCCTGGTTGGTCGTGCGGGTGGCAGCCACTCGATGTGTCCCTTCACGTAGATGTTTCTCACTCTCTCTCCCTCCCATTCTATCTGTACCAAAAAAAAATAAAATAAAATAAAAGGAAAAATATCCTCGGGTGAGGATAAAAAAAAAAGAAAAAGAAATAAAAAACTTTCTGGAAATCAATGAAAATGAACACAACATCTATGGAACACAGCAAAAGCAGGTTCATAGCATTACAGGCCTACCTCAAGAAATATAAAAAATTTCTAACAGACGATCTAACCCTACAACTTAAAGAACTAGAAAGTAAACAAAAAGAAAAACCCAGAGCAAATAGAAGGAAAGAAATAGTAAAGGTTAGAGTAGAAATAAAAGACATAGAGACTTAAAAAATTATTCAAAAGATCAATGAAACAAAGAGCTGGTTCTTTGAAAAGATAAACAAGATTGATCAACCTTTACCCAGACTCACCAAGAAACAAAGAGAGAGGACCCAAATAAATAAAACCAGAACCAAAAGAGGAAAAGTAACAACTGACACCACAGAAGTACAAAGGATTGTTAGAAAATACTATGAACAATCAATTATATGCCAACAAACTGGAAAACCTAGGCAAAATGGACTAATTTCTAGAATCACATTCTCCCAAAACTGAACTAGGGAGAGTCAGAAAACTTGAACAGACCAGTAACAACTAAGGAAATTAAAGATGTAATCAAGAAACTCCCAGCAAATAAAAGCCCGAGTCTGGACAGCTTCACAGGGCAGTTTTACCAAACATTCAAAGAAGAACTAACACCTACTCTCCTCAAACTATTCCAAAAAATTCAAGATGAAGGAAGACTTCCAAGCTCTTTTTATGAGGCCAGCATGACCCTATTCCAAAACCAGATAAAGACACTACAAAGAAAAAAAACTACAAACCAGTATCTCTGATAAACATAGATGCCAAAATCCTCAACAAAATCTTAGCAAATTGGATCCAGCAATATATTAAAAAAATTATTCACCATGACCAAGTGGGATTCATCCCAGGGATGCATGGCTGGTACAATATTCACAAATCAATACATGTCATACACCACATAAACAAAATGAAAGATAAAAATCGTAAGACCATATCAATAGATGCTGAAAAAACATTTGACAAAATCCAGCACCCATTTCTGATAAAAACACTCAGCAAGGTGGGAATACAGGGATCATATCTCAACATAATAAAGGCCATATATAAAAAACCTACAGCCAACATCATACTCAATGGGCAAAAACGAAAAGCATTTCCCTTAAAAAGAGGAACAAGATAGGGATGCCCACTTTTACCACTCTTATTCAACATAGTACTGCGAGTCTTAGCCACAGCAATTAGACAAGAAGAAAAAATAAAAAGAGATCCAAATTGGAAAGGAGGAAGTGAAACTGTCATTATTCGCAGATGACATGATATTGTACATAGAAAACCCTGAAGACTCAATAAAAAATCTACTAGATTTAATAAACAAATTTGGCAAGGTAGCAGGATACAAAATTAACACCCAGATATGAATGGCATTCTTATACAACAATAAATACTCAGAGAGGGAAACTATAAAAAAATCCCATTTACTATTGCAACAAAAAAAATAAGATGCCTAGGAATAAACTTAACATAGAAGGTCTTGTTCTCAGAAAACTACAGGACATCGAAAAAAGAAATGGAGGAAGATATAAAAAAAGTAGAAACATATACCACGCTCATGGATTAGAAGACTCAACATCATTAAAATATCCGCAATCTATACATTCAATGCAATCCCTATTAAAGTTCCAGCGGCATATTTCACAAATCTAGAATAAATACTCCGAAAGTTTATATGGAACCAAAAAAGACCCTGTACAGCCACAGCAATCTTGAAAAAGAAGAACAAAGAGGGAGGGATCACAATACCAGATATCTAGTTATACCACAAAGCAATCATAATCAAAACAGCTTGGTGCTGGCACAAGACCAGGCATGTAGATCAATGGAACAGAACAGAAAACCCAGAAATCAACCCAAACCCTGGCTGGTTTGGCTCAGCGGTTAGAGAGTTGGCCTGCGGTCCAGAGACCCGGGTTCGGTTCCTGCTAAGGGCACATACCTTGGTTGCAGTTTGTCCCCGCCCCTGGTTGGTCGTGCGGGTGGCAGCCACTCGATGTGTCCCTTTCACGTCGATGTTTCTCTCTCTCTCTCCCACTCTACCTGAACAAAAAATGGAAAAATGTCCTCGGGTGAGGATTAAAAAAAAAAACAGAAATTGACCCAAGACAGTATGTGTAATTAACATTTAACAAAGGAGGCAAGAGCATACAATGGAGAAAAGACAGTCTCTTCAATAAATGGTGCTGGGAAAATTGGACAGGTACATGCAAAAAAATGAAACTTGACCACCAACTTATATCATATCCAAGAATAAACTCAAAGTGGATAAAAGATTTAAATATAACTTGTGAAACCAAAAAAATGTAGGCAGAAAAATCTCAGACATTATACGAAGTGGAATTTTCACTGATACATTGCCTACAGCAAGAGAAACAAAGGAAAAAATTTATAAATGGGATTACATCAAACTAAAAAGCTTCTGCAAGGCAAAAGAAACCAGCATCAAAATGAAAACGGAACCCACTTTCTGAGAACATATTTGCCAATTATACACTGGATAAGGGGTTTAATATCCAAAATATATAGAGTACTCATACAACTCAACAAAGAAAGACAAACAATCCAATTAAAAAATAGGCAGAGGACCTGAACAGACACTTCGCCAAACAGGATATACAAATGGCCAGGAGACATATGAAAAAATGCTCAACATTTCTAATCATCAGGGACATGCAAATTAAAACGACTATGAGATATCACCTCACACCTGTCAGAACGGCTGCCATCAACAAATCATCAAACAACAAGTGCTGGCGAGGGTGTGAAGAAAAGGGGACTCTAGCACACTGCTGGTGGGAATGTAGACTGCTGCAGCCACTATGGAAAACAGTATGGTGTTTCCTCAAAAAATTAAAAATGGAGCTGCCATTTGACCCAGTGATTCCACTTCTAGGAATATATCCTAAGAACCCTGAAACACTAATCAGAAAGAATATATGCACCCCTATGTTCATAGCAATGCTATTTACAATAGCTACAATCTGGAAACAGCCCAAGTATCCATCAGTAGAAGGGCAGATAAAAAAGCTGTAGTACATATACACAATGGAGTACTATGTAGCTGTAAGAAGGAAAGATCTCTTACCCTTTGAGATGACATGAAGGAACCTGGAGATTATTATGCCGAGCAAAATAAGCCAGTCAGAGAAAGACAAGTACCACATGATCTCACATATTTATGGAACATCATGAACAAAATAAGCTGTCGATCAAAATAGATCAAGAGTCATGGAAGTAGGGAACGGACTGGCAAATGTAGAGGAATGGAGAGTGGGAAGGGTGGGAAGAGATGCAAAAAACTTATATGCATATATGCACAACTAAAGGACACAGACATTAGGTTGGGGAAAGCAGGAAGGGGGTGGGAGCGGAAAGGAGAGGGTCAATGAGGGGAATAAGGGCGACATCTGTAGTATTTTCAACAATAAAAAAAAAAAAAGGAGGAGGCTGTAAAATTTCCAACTGTTTACGTACATATTTTTGAGTGACAGTGGGTATCAAATTGCTAAGGTATTTAGAGTCCACTGAATATGTTCAACAGGCTAATATAGAAGTTTCTAATATTCTAAAATATCTGTATGTACCAGAAATTATGCTGTTTGCAATTATTTAAACAATTTTTTTTAGAAATCATCTTTAAAAACATGTAAAGGATACACAACTTTTCAAAATTATTTTGGGCTACATATGAGCAAACAACTAGAAAAGCAAGGTTTTAAAGCATACCAGTATAATAGTTACCAAAATACTGCAAATTTTAGAGACTGAAAAAGTAAGGGCTTAATCCTCCGTCTCCAAGGCCCCATTCATAGTTTTAAATCTTAAGTTTTAGAATTCTGCCACTATGGCAAGTACACAAAATATTTAAGCATATAATTTATTTAAAGATTAAGGAAATTGTACCACTTAAGCAGGTCTATTAATCTATACTTGAAAATTTCATGAAAAAAATATTTTAAATCAAATTTTTAAATAAAATATAACTTAGTACCCAGTGCTACGTAAGTCAGCATATAAAGATTCCTAAGGGCCCACTGGGAATAAATATGTATCAAAATTACAATGAAAATGTGAAGAATTGAAAACTCCTATCATATTTTTATAAGCCTATATGTAGCACAGAAGGCCTTGTAGTACTTTACAAAAATCACACTCTTCCTTTGCTGAAAGGCAGTTGTTCCTTGTTCAAAGTAACTCATTTAAAACACTGGCTTTTTATTATAATATGCTCCCTGAAAAAAGCTGCATCCACTGCCTTATACCAAGTTAATTTCATTCTATGCTAAAAAAGAACTAGCTTGGGGAGCCATGCCAATTCATTAGAAAGGAAGTTGACTACAATACTTTTAACAGACTCTTTCACTAGGAAAAGGCATCTGCATGATTCTGTGTGTGGAAGGGTCAGGCTGCACTCACCGTGGGAGTGGAAGTGTCCATGTCCGTGAGCATGATCATGGCTGTGCGCAGCACCATGTTTCAATTCGTGACTGTGGCAATGATCTCCATGGCCATGGGCCTGGTCCAGAGCACCGTTAAAGAGGGAATGGCTGTGTCCATGGCCTAAAAACAGTGTTAGAACAAAAGGCATGTAAAAATAGATTAGTTAATGGTTATAATAACACTGAGATCAGAAAAAGAATTAGCTTTAAAACCAGATTCAAGTCCAGAAACATTCACTTGTAAAAAGTGTTATAGAGTCATTACAATAATACTGAGTTCCTACTAAATAGTACAGGAAGGAAATAAAAGCAGAGATGGAGACAAGCTGATCCTAAAATGTATATGGAGATGCAAGAAGGGGACCCAGAATAGTCAAAATGTCCTTAAAGAAAAAGAATGAAATAGAAAAATTCACATATTAAGATGTCAAAACCTACCTCAGGGTTACAGAAATCAATAAAGAATAGTGCTGGCATGAGGACAGACACATAGATCTGTGAAACAGAATGAGTCCAGAATGTACTCTCACATTTATGGTCAACTGACTGTTGACAAGACAATTTAGTGGGGAAAAAGAATCTTTTCAACAAATGGTGCTGAGACAATTGGTTATCTACACATAAGAAAATACTAGACCCATACCTTATATACCATACACAAACATGAACTCAAAATGGATCACAGACTTAATGTAGACGTAAATGGTTATGTTTAACCCCAAAATTTAACAATGGGTCCTCATGAGAAAAATCTATCAATGTAATTACTAATTTTAAGTTAACTAGAGGAGGAAACCACATTGTTATGCAATAGATGCAGGAATATCCTTCAGCTGATAAAGTGGTTTTATCAGAAACAAACCACAACCATCAGACCCAATGATAAAACTCTAGTGGTATTTCTTCATTTAAGCAATATATCTCAACCATAACTGCACATTCAAACTGAGAGGAGAGGGTTAAACATACTGGGTCTCTTTCTCCCAAGGTTCTGATGTAAATGTGCTGGGATTAAACCTAGGCATCAATGTTTTTAAAAGGTTACCCAGGTGATTATCCAGGTTGACACAAGGATACAAGCTAGAAGTATTTCTCATCAACACAGTGCTAGAGGTTCTGGCCATGCAATAAGACAAGCAGGCACAAGAGTTATCATTCTTAATAGGAATTAAAAACTTTCAATTACCTAAAAATGAACCAAAGAAAAAATACTTTGTTAAAATGCCAAAGACAATTTAATGAAAGACATGAAATTTAGTATGAACATGAAATGTAATGAGTTATGTTGATTTTTCATAATTAAAGATAAAGATAATAAATTTCCAGTCAAAATTCCAACAAGATTTTTCATAAAATTTGACAAGCTGATAAAAAAAATAAATAGATAAGCAAGACAGGCCCAAAAAACTTGGAAAAATCCAGAGATGGGACTTCCCCTACCGACATTAAAAGAGAAAGTTTACAGCAATTACTCCAGTGTGTTAGTAGGACAGACATAGATCAACAGATTAGACCTGCTAAACAAGGCAACTGAATTCCGAGTAAAAGCATCCTTTTACATCAGTGGGGCAAAGGACAGATTAATCAATGGTGCCTGGAGAACTGCTTATTCACACAGTGAAAAAAAAGTTAAGTCTTTACACATCACAAAAATAAACTACATAAAGATGATGGACCAAAATGAATGGGGAAAAAAAAATCATCAAACCAAAATGCTGTTACAGTATTAAATTATAAAAGAATAGGTTGATTACCCAGGGCACTTCCCCCTTTAAGCCGAAACATGCCAGAAAAAAATGTAAAACACAAAAACTAGACTATATCCAAATTAAAAACCCATATATAAAAATTTAAAGACAGGCTAAAGAAAGGGAAAAGATATTTGCAACACATTAAACAAAGTATCAGCACACAAAATATATATTAAAAAATGCTTATAAGTGGATTACCAATAAGACAATAGAAAAACAGACAAGAAAAAAGAAAAGAACAGACAATTCTAGAAAAGTCAGAGAAATACCAAATAAAATGATATAATTTTTATCAAAATATTAGCAAAATGGTTTTAAACCCTTAATATAAAGTTTTGATGTGGGTGAGAGGAAACACTACCTGCAATTACTGCTGTAGTAAATGTAAATGAGAGTCATTTTGGAGGGTGATTTACTACTATCTATTGAAACTAAAACAACCTAGCCTATGTTCCAGCAATTCTACTTCTATACCGGCACAGTGTGATTCAGAGAATTTTCTGTGACAACAGCAATGTCCTGTATTTGCTGTCCAGTACGGCAGCCCTATGTGACTGATACGCACTTGAAATGTCATTAATGTAACTGAAGAACTAATTTTTTAAATTTTATCAACTTTAATTAGCTATAATTTAAATTTACATAGCCCCATGTGACTACTGGTACCATACGGGCCAGCACAGCTCTGGAACAACTCTCATACGTTCACAAGGACACGGAATCGTGATAAACTGGAGTAAGCAACTTGAAGTCCATTCAAAGAAGACTGGTTAAATAACCCAGGGGTCCCACGCCACGGAGTTCTATATGGCTGTTCATGAGAGAAGGTGGACTGATATATATGCCAAATGGAAGGATCTCAAGGACAGACTGTATCTAGTAAATTTCATACCCACAGACTCTATAATTTTTTAGTAACTAGATTTGTTTTGTGGTTTTGAGGTTTATTTGTTTGTTTTATATAAATGGTGTCATAATCAACAGATGAGCTACATAGGTCTGGAAGGGTCTGCACCAAAATGGCAACATGTGTAACTGAGAAGGTGTTGAAGGGGAGGGGCATGGAGGAGTGGGAGGGGTGGTCCAGGAAGACATTAATAACAGTCTATTAATATTACTTTTGTTATTAAAAATCAATAGTTTAACTTTTAAAATGATCCATTTTCAAAAGTGAATAACTATGACAGACACCAGAAAATGAAGAAACAAAGGGTTCTAACCGTCATACCAGAGCCGTGAGAATGTCCATGACCTCCATGCTTGAAAACAAATATTCCTATTAGGTTAACCACAAAACCAAGGATTGAAACCAGAAGCAGTCTCTCATGGTGCACATCTGGAGGGGCTAATGCTCTCTAGAAAACACATAATACAAATTGCATTGATATGACTTTTGATTAATCAACTGATAAAAACAAAAAGCTATTTTTAAACATTTTCAATTATTTTCAGAATTAAAATCACTCCAAAAATATGTCAAAACTGTATACAGAATAAAACCGGTATTCACATACTATAGAAAAGGTAACAATCACTGGTTTTAAATAAATACAAATATTTAAAAGCATTACTGTTTGGTCTGAAATCCACCGTTCTTTGGTATTTTGAAATATTTCCACTCATTTTAAGTTCATGAATCTTTAAACTTTCTCTTTGTTTTAACATACCAAAGATGAAGAATTCACTGGCAAGACTCTCCAATTCTATTTTAATAACTCTCCCAACAGGTCTCATGGCCTGTACTGTGCCCTTACTTTCCATTGTGTCAACACTTCAGTCCCACCTTGTAGAGCACAAGTATTTGTTTTCAATTTCAAGTAGTTACACATTTATTTAATTTTTCTCAACTAGTCTGAAAGCTCCTCCTGCACACACAATATTTCATCTAACCCAAGGCTGTCCTCAATACTTCATAATCATGTGAAAAACAGCTCTAGTACATGTATGTTTGGTGAATAAACATTTTTATTACAGAAATGTAATTTACTAACTCTAATCATTATCCACTATACCTCAACTCCTTCTGAGAAAATAAAAAAAGCAGTGAAGATCAAAAACAGCCCATTGACAAAGCCAGCCAGCACTTCCGCTCGAACATACCTAAAGAAGAGCAAAGTACACAATGGAATTACTAAGTTATTTCTACAAATCAGAGTAAATTTTCCTATGTTCAATGATCCTAAACCACATTATATAGTTATAAATAGCCAGCAAAAACCAGTATTTATAGTACAGTATGTTTTGTTGAACATTTATTATAAAAATAAGAAAATGAAATTTATTATGAATCATGTTTAATAGCAGAATGTCATGAAATACATAGATTTCTATAAGCCAAGCAAAAGACCTTCTTAGAGTAAGTAGGTTTAGAAAGGCCCTTCCCAGAAATGTGAATCCCAAGTTGCCACTGGAGAGGGAAGAACAGGACCAGAGAAATGGACAAAGAAGGATCCAAAGAGAAAAAGTAGAAGAAGAGATTGAAAAGGGGGGTTTTGTAAATTATTAATTCCTTCTTTCCTAAGAAAGCCTTATGCTTACTGCCTTGTACTTTTCAGCTTTCAAATCTTTGGAAAGTAGAGCTTTGATCTGAAGGAAAAGAAAATTATTTCTGAAATATCCCAGAAACAACTTGAGATTTATATTTCCATCATTCTTTTTCTAAAATTAACAAATGTAGCCCTGGCCGGTTTGGCTCAACAGTTAGAGCGTCAGCCTGCGGTCTAGAGAAACCTGGGTTTGGTTCCCACTAAGGGCACGTACCTCAGTTGCAGTTTGTCCCTGGCCCTGGTTGGTCATGCGGGTGACAGCCACTCTGAGTGTCCCTTTCACATCGATGTTTCTCTCTCTCTCTCTTCCTTTCTTTCCCCCCCACTCTATCTGAACAAAAAATGGAAAAATGTCCTCGGGTGAGGATTAAAAAAAAAAATTAATAAATGCAGCAAAAAATTTTACCTACTTTTAGAATCAATTGACTTCAGATAATTCTAATTCAACTATTTTTTTATATACTTGTCTTTTCCCTCAGATTTCTGAAGCTTTCTACTTCCTCCCTGTGAGAGGCATTGGGGAAACATCTTATTTTTCTATAACATGTCTCTGGTTTAGACAAAGTCATCAGAAACAACTTGAACTGGGCAGATTTACTTGTTCAGACATTATTCAAAGAGCGCTCACAGCAGTTAATCATTGTGGTCCTTAATATAACAGGAGCATCAAAAACAGTGCTTTTTCTAGCTTTCTATGTTAACTTCTAGAAAATATAATTTTTACTGTAAAAATATTTTTTAAGTAGAGAGAACAAGCTCTTTAAAAGGCATTCTATCCAGTTATGTTGGGGCTTACCCTGGCCAGTGCAGTCCAACATAGCATATATTTCCACCTCAGAAATAATGAATATTTCTGCCTTCTAACACATATAAGTGAATTAAATGAACATATTATTTGTCAAAGCATATACTTTTTTTCTGGAGAAAAAGTTCATCAAATTTACAGAATTCACAGCCTGCTTTCCATAGCCCACACTTAGGAATGTATCAACAGGGTTACTACCTCCAAACTAAAAAGTACTTTCTTTTACCCACACTTCTAGTCTCACAGCTAATGCTTGACTGAGAACCTATTGCCCTCAAGCTCCACTAGGTTTCAAGATCAAAGACAGGAATGTTTTCCACATCTCTTTGTTCCTAATGCCTTGCTTAGCAGGTACTCCATAAATGCTGATAACTGATGGATTACAGTGATTTAATTCAGTTTAATATATTTGCTAAATGAGATTGCAGGATAAAATGAAAAACCTGTAGGAACGAGACATGCTTACCTTTACAAATGGCTGTGCTTACTTGAACAGTGAGTCTTAGAATCAAACCATGTTAATTCCTAAACATGCTGTTGCCTAATTGAGTATGATTGTATCTGGATTCTTCAGCCAGGACAAAAAAGACACAAGTCTATGTACATATGATATGCATCTTTCTACCTGTCGGGTGTATATTACTTTAATGCTGGCTTTGCTATTTCAAAAATAGTGTGCAAGACACAAAGAGGACTTTTATATACAGAAATACTGAAAAGTCTTTGCTGCCTCTCAGATCCTCCCTATTGTCTTCTATGCAGAGTCAGCTGCTGTTGTGATCATACTGAATTGGGGCTTGGGATGATACCCAGGCTTAGCTGTTGTGTGTCATTTTGATGTAACCTCACTCTTATTTTACTCCTGCTGCTACTATAACAATTACTAATAGCTTCAAATGCTACATCAGGTTTTACTGTCTAATTTTTTCCTTCTCAAAGAAATTTTTTTTAAAGGCAAATAGGAGAAGACAGGCTAAGTAAAAGGTGGCAAGAATATTACTCTCTTGTTATCAACTAGTTCAAGTTGAGTAGTATAATCTGCTCTGGTACTGAAGATATTCAAAGCTATTCCTGAAAACAACTGCACAGCAGCAGACCATGCATTATAAACAGAAAATAGACACCCCAAGAATTAAAGAACTGGGGAGAATTTTTATAATCACCAACTGTTTATCCAGAAAGACTACTGAACAAGATATTCTTACACGATTTTTGATATCCAGTATTTATGAATTACTAATTTTCCAATACAAAACTATAACTTTACATAAAATCTTTCTTTAATGAGCCAAAATATACTTAAGAATTTTTTTTTATTTTATAGTGCCATGGAAAATGTTCTTTTCCGAGCATTCATTTCTTTGGAGTTACAGAAACAGGATCTCTTGCTCTGTACTATAACAATAATATAATAAGTGTTTTTGGTCTCACTTCTCATAATTTTACAAGAAACCCTGTTACTTTGGTTATACCCCAAATCAGCACGTTCTGTCACAGACTTCCTCTCTCTCTTTCAGCAGTTGTCACAATGTGCAGTTATTATTTTTACAGAACTGCTTCCCCATCAGACCCCAAGATCCCCAAGGCAGGTGCCACATCTTACTCATCTTCAGATCACTGGAGTAGCAAAGCAGTGGGCCCTCAAACATATGAACAGAACAGAGCATGTGCAAGAAACAGAGTCGGCTTGCTCCAGAGCAAATGCAAAGCTGGTAGTGAGGGAGTACAGCCAGTGCTGGAGGAGGGCGGACTGATGAGGGGGATGGAACAGGGAAGGGGGGGGGGGCACTGCGCTGGAAAGGGAATCAGTGACAGAGAAGGACAGACTGCAAAAGCCAGAGCAGGGAGCATAAGAAGGAGCTAAGAGATACAGCAAAGGGGAGAGGGAGAGAGTAGAAGAGAGAGTAAGAGAAAAGATGGGGCGGGGGGGAGGGGAGACACAGGCGCGCAACTAACTAGAAAGAAAGAATGAACAGGAGGGCGCAGAGATGGGAGAGAGTATGAGGATGTGACAAAAGTGAGAGGTGAGAGAAAATGGGATAGACAGAGAAGAAAGGGGAGAATGTGGGAGCTAAGAGTACTCAGGAGGGAGGAGGAGAAGGGGAAAGACAAGGAAAGGGAGGAAGCAGACAGAGGGGGCAGAGAGAAAGTGGGTGGGAGAGAGGAAGGGGATACTTGTTCTCACACAGATATAATCACACTGCAAAATATCCTACATGCTGAAAAAACAAAAACAAAAAACACACACTCAACAAGAGTCAATAAAATAATGGAAACTCTACTGCGTCCCCCATCAGAGATGAAAAGCCAACACCGCCTCTCAGGGCACCAGGCTCAGCAGTGAGACCAGGTGCTCCTTCAGCGTGAAAACTCTCTCCAAATATTTGATTAACAGCCCAGATTCAGCAAGAGGAGAAGTATTTTACATAAAAGTAGAGCTGAAGAGGATACATAACATAAAACCATATTGGAAAATCAGTTTTAAATGAATCAGCAGAAAAATATTCCTCCTAAAAAGAATAAGAAACATGATCATTTGCATAGACTAAAACTTTTTCTTTTTCTTCACCTGCTTAAAAAAACTAGGTTACAAATTGAGAAATTCCCTTATGTGGTAACAAGCTCACCTAAAAACTTCTGGTAAAATCAAGATGCCCTACCTCTAAGCAAAAAACAACAACAACAAAACCCAAATGCAAAAAAAAAAAAAAATGCAAATACTGTAGATTTCAGATATATAGTGTTCAAAAACAAGTAACACTTCAACAAAAAGGATTTTAAAAAGTCTTACCCATAAGAGAAAGCATCATTATCTCTCCATTTCGAAATAACAGACGCTGCCAACCCAGCCAAGATGGCAGTGCTATCGAAAAACATGTGAAAAGAGTCGGAAATCAACCCTAAGCTGGAAAAGAACAAACACGGTGGCATATTAGAATCATAACCAAACAAGTGGCATCGTTACCTAAAAATCTAAGATTCAGCCTCTGCTCATCAGCAACTAATCTTCCAAAAAGCCAACAATGAAACATAATAAAGAAGAAAAGGAGTAAAAATAAATAAATAAATAACAATACAAGTGGATTGATTCCATATATTAATTATTCCTTCATACTTTCACTCAGCAAATATGTACTAGGTGTACTATGTACAGTGTGATAAGGTACCTGAATAAGATAAAAGACATCTACTTTATTTTCTTTTATTTTTTTTATCCTCACCTGAGGACATTTTCCCATTTTTTGTTCAGACAGAGTGGGAGAGAGAGAGAGGAAGAGAGAGAGAGAAACATCAACGTGAAAGAGACACATCAAGTGGCTGCCACCGGCACAACCCAAGGGCCAGGGACAAACTGCAACCGAGGTACGCGCTCTGAGCGGGAACTGAACCTGGGTTTCTCTGGACCGCAGGCTGACGTTCTAACCACTGAATGAAACTGGCCAGGGCAAAGACCCCCTCACCCCCTACTTTAATAAAGCATACATTCTAGAAGAAAGTTGAAGGGCAATGGACAATTAATGTGGGGGAAAATACACAAAGAATTTATCTATTCTTCCATTGAAGACACATTATTATCATCAAAAATATAAATCAACTATAATTAAGTCCTTCCTTTAAAATGAAGGTTATGAACAAGAACCAGAATGTTGCAACTAGATTAACCATTTCTAAGAGCCTTTATTTGTGAAGAGTGAGTATATTTTGTCCATCTTTTTTCCATAACAGAAAAAATTCTTAACATTTCATGTTCATTACATCATAAAACTTAGTTAATACAGAAGGATAATGAACATTGAACTGATGATGACAAAATTTCCTCATTTACTCAAGGAATTTAAAAATCTAATGGAACCTTCAGAAACAGAGATAATCCAATCACATAAAGAAACTGTTGATAAGTCAACAAAGGAAACTAAAAATTGTGGTATCTAAAGATATAGAAAGCCAGATTATGAAAAGGCCCACGTAATTTCTAAATCTGCCAAGGCTTCAATGGGAACACATTTGTAGTTCCAATTCACTGATAAAAATTAATATTGGGGAACAAGTGGTTGTGGATATGATGTGAACATGATGATGAATATTGGCTAACTGAGCTAGGTATAACAGACACTGGTTCAGCGCTAGACTTCAAATCTAGAAGATATCACGACAATCTGGAGAAGAGAGTCTCAGGTAAGAAGAACAAGCCACAGAAGAACAAGTCACATACCACTGATTTGTTTTCCTTAGTACTGATGACTTTTGACAACGGCTTGGAAATCAGTGGTTTTAGTAATTTCCTAAATAGATCTCTGCAGGCCAAAAGAATTACTATATACCTAACTTTCCATGAAGTTCAAAGATGAATCCCTTGAACAAGACATTTCACATAGCAATTTATACAATGTAGGCCATAGTAAAATATAATCTATTGTAATATAAAGTAACTATGGCAAAACTCTACATATACAAACCAAGATAGCCTTGATACAGTCAGCATATATGTCACAATATGGCATAGTTTAGGAAGAGTAAAATATATAAATATTGTATATTTATAATAAAGTATGATTATTGCAATACAAGTTAAGACAATACAGCTGACCCTTGAACAACATGGGGGTTAGGGGTCCTACCCCTTGTGCAGTCGAAAATGGGTATAACTTTTGACTCCCAAAAACTTAACTACTAATAGCCTACTATTCACCAGAAGCCTTACCAATAACATAAAATTTGTCAATTAACACACACTGCGTATGTTATATGTATTACATACTATAGTCTTTCAATAAAGTAAGCTGGAGAAAAGACAATATTATTAAGAAAATCATAAGAGAAAACACATTTACAGTACTGCACATATTTGTTGAAAAAAATCTGTGTGTAAGTGGACCCGCATAGATCAAATCCATGTTGTTCAAGGGTTAACTATAGTGCTTTTAACATACACAGTACACTGAAGTGGGTTAATATTACAGGATACATATATCTGATTCCCAGAGGACTCAAATGGTTATGACATATATTGAGATGTGATTATATTCCAATATGCATTTAACACCCAAGTGGTCACTAAACTAATAATCTTCATAATTTGCTGAGTCTTTTTAACAAATGAATTCATGTTTGCATTGAAAAGTAGTCCACTTTTCATATAAAAGTACATATACATGTCACAAAACCTGATGACATTATCTAATGTCATTGCTCAATTTCAACAATGATAAAAATCAAAGACAGCAACTGTCTGTGAAAATGGACCTTAAAGGACAGAGACTAAGTCTATTTTATTAATAGAAAACAAAGCACAGATGGCATAGGTTCTTATTGGGGGACCAGGAGCTATTTTGAGGAACTCAAGAACACCCTGAAGTTTTATATAAAATGTTGTTGGCTTTCATCAGATTATCAAATGGATAAGAGATTTAAAGACGAATCAGTACACCTAGAAGAGTGATGTTCATATGGTTGGTTGAACAATTTTATAAGACCTTAAGTTATTCAACAACAAATAACTAGATAACCGTATTTCATTTCCAGAGTTAAACAGGATATACCTCTTCCCAAAGCAGTTAAAGAACAAACAAACAACAAAAACAAGGGTGACACCAAAACCATCTACTCAAGAGATGTAAGCTTTTGGAAAACTACATGGGATTTTCTACTACAGTCAGGACCAGAGGAAAACCATGAGACAGTTTCAGCATATAATTAACGAGAGAAGAGAATGACACATATTTGTCCAGATATCCCCTTTATAAACCTATTCCCCATTCCAAGACCTAATAAATTAAGTAGCACATCTCAGATATTCCCTCTCGGAATCTTCAGGGTGAAATCTAAATGCCACTCCCCCCACAGACAGGCAAGGGCACTCCCCTCAAGAGGCAGGGAACAGGTTTCTCCCAATTCCAAGAAAGTGGGCAAAGCTAAGGCGTGTGGTTAGAGACGAAAGTCTCTCGCCGCCTACCAAACGAGGAGGGGGCTCGTCCCTCTTGTTTGACAGAGTGGGGGTGGGGGTAAGAACCGGGGACCCAAATCTTAAGAACTGCTGCACGTGATTGGCTCCGATGTTAAGAAATGTAGCCACTCCAGACAGGTGTGAGTAAGAGAAAGCAACTGGGAAGCAGAGGTGTTGGCTCAGGGAAGACCTGAACCTCCCGGAGACGAGCTACGTGGCACTTAAGCAAACAGAGCTAGGTCTCCGCCATCCCCGGCTTCCGCCCCAACCCTTCCCTCTTTGGTTACCAGTTGCTCCAGATGCCGTAGAGTAGTTCCACAAAAGCGAAAGAAAGATTCAGGCACAGGAAGAAAAACAGGTTCCGAGACGTCTTGTCCGACAGGATAGACCTGGGCACGACAAAGTGGGGAAGAGCCGGAGAGTCAAAGCGGTGCCGGGACCGGCGTCCGGGTCCCGTCTCCAGACCCTCCCAGGCCACAAGTGAGGGTGTCCCTGACGCTCCCTCCCTGGACCTCGGGCCATCCTTCGATCTGGGCCTTGTCCCCTGTGCCGGACACCCACTCCCCGCACACAGGGCACCCGCACCTAAACCAGCCGGAGATCTTGCCCAACAGATTGAACTTGGGTGGTTTGTATTCATCGTCCTTGATGGACAGGGGCAACATCTTCAATGCCCGGCGAAGGGCCGGGTCTCCTCTCGTCTGGAAGTGGCTCCGTGGATGACGGTAGTGACAGTGGTGACGCCTCCGACGGGAATCCCAGCGATCGTCCCGGGCCGCGGGCCGCTTCCACACACAGACACAGACACACGCCCGGGAACTCACCGACTTCCGGCCCGGGCCGCGCAACGCGTCCTGGGACGGGAAAGGGGCGGGCCCGGGGGCGGGCCCCACGCGGTGGGCGGGGCTTACGGCCGGCGCCGAGGGGTCGCTGGGCAGCCGCTGTGGGGGGCGGAGCAGGATGGCAGGGAGTACCAGGGGGTTTCAGGGGCCGGGCAGGGGTGGAGCGCCGCCACCTGCGCCTAGGAAGAAAATACCGAGGTGGGACCGACGTTTACGGACCCCGCGCGACAGCCTCACACCGACGTTCTCGCCCAGGGCCCGCCCTGTCGCCATGTCCCCTCTGAGAGTTAAATCCAGGCCCGTGCGGTAGCAAAGCCTGAGAGCGCAGGAGGCGACGTGTCCTCTCGCCGCCATTCCGCAGGAAGCGCAAGGCAGGGTCTTGCTGGGTGCACTCTGCGAGCACCCCGTTTTCGCGGCCCGCCCAGCTGCCCCGAAAACAGCGCCGGACCCCTCCGTGCGGTCACGCGGACGGCAGTGGGCAGACGTCGCCCTAAAGAACGTTCACCGGGCGCTGCTGCGAGCCCGGGCTTAACGGGGGCTTGGCGGGCGCAGAGCCGGCTCGTCCCGGGGACCCTCCTTCGGGCGCCTTTCCGGGGTTTTGTTTGTGGAAGGTCCGGTGCAGCACGTGAACGACTCACAGCGTTACCTTGGGCTAGAAAGGGGGCAAAGCAGGACTGGCTTGGGGTGGGCTGGAAACTGGAAAACCCGGCTTCCTGTGCACAGCCCGCGGTGGGACAGGAAGTGGGGCGTCCCCGAGGGAGGACGGCCCGGGACCGTCTCCCGCTCCCCGCTCACTGCGGGCGGCGCGTTCCGCTCCTCCAGCCAACGCGGGAGGCGAGCTGGGCGCGGGCTGCGGAGTTAGGAGCGCACACACGCACACACGCACACGAGCGCTGCTGGGTTAGGAAAACACAGGTACACACACACACACACACACACGCACACGAGCGCTGCTGGGTTAGGAAAACACACACACACGCTGCTGGGTTAGGAAAACAGATACACAAATGAGCAGGAGAAACGCCCCTTCCGTTTGGTGACCACGAACCGCAAGCAAATACCTAGGCGGCTCCACAGCAACCGCTGCTCTCAAGGTAAGGAAATCGCAAACCGCTCTCGTGTTAAAAATGTTTGCAATGAGGAGAATGCGTGTTTTGCTCTAGTTCTTGGAACTTTGTTGGGGTTGCGGGTAGTGGGTCGCTGGTTTTATTATTGAAAATAAAATTTATTCTCCGATTTTTAAAAAAATGTTCATGTTCATTAAAATTGCTGTGCAAAGACAGATAGATTCCAGAAATTAAGTTCTGGAGAGAGTATTTTTACTATGCCTTTTCTTTGTGTAAATAATATTAGTATTTTAACTTAATAGAAATATTTTTAATTAGTAGCACTTACTTATATTTCTTGGGAAGCTTTTGTATTTAGCCATAGACTTTGAATTTTACTAACATTAAGTGGGTGCAAACCAGTTAAGGATAGGCAAATATTCCCATGGCAACTGGGTTTTTTTGTTTTGTTTTGTTTTGTTTTGTTTTTCTCACAAAACTGCTTTATTTCAAAATGATGTAACTTTAGCAGGGGAGGAGATGTATAGAAATAACAAAATTTCAGCAACTGATTTCCAAAACTCAAGGCCAGCTGCAACTTAAGCATGTATTTTTGTATTCTACCTTTGAAAGTCAATTGTGCAGTATGAGGGAAAGAGGGATGGGAGGAAGTAGAAGAGGGTGAAGTGGGGATAAATGGCGATGGAAGGAGATTTGACTTGGGGTGGTTAACAAAATACAATATACAGGTGATGTACTCTAGAATTGTATACCTAAAGCCAATGTCACCCCAATAAGTTCAATAAAAAAAAGAGAAGAAACTGTTTATTTTATTCTATATTGCTATAAATTGTTCCACTGGTTTATGCAAAAATCTGCAGTAACCCTTTTCAAATAGTGTTTAAATGAGTTGGAGAAATTAAAGTTTAATTTCATTTATATTGGTTTCCTGGGACTCCCAAATTTCCCCACTCCCCACCCCAAAAATATAACATAGGTTTTCCTGTGATTTGGAGGGCCTTCTCCTTTCAAAAGTGGCAATGCTACTTCAAAGTTTTCAGTCTTGGGTGGCATAATTACCAACTTCAACACTAAAAGCATTTTATTGGGAATATAAACAGGGCTATTTAAATCAGGAAAAGTGCCCTGGCTGGATTGGTTCAGCAGTTAGAGCGTTGGCCCATGGAAAGTCCCAGGTTCGGTTCCCGCTAAGGGCACGTGCCTCGGTTGCAGTTTGTCCCTGGCCTGGTTGGGGTCGTGTGGGTAGCAACCAGTCGATGTGTGTGTCTCTCTCTCTTTTCCCCCTTCCCTCTCTCCCTCCTGCTCTATCTGAAGCTAAATGCAAAAGTGTCCTCCGGTGAGGATAAAAATTAAAGTAAAAATAGATCAGGAAAGGAAAATGTTTGTGCCCTGGCCAATGTGACCCAGTGGTTAGAGCGCTGGCCCACACATCAAAGGGGTTCGATCCCAGTCAAGGGCTTATACCTGGGTTGCAGGTTCATTCCCCAGTCCTGTTGGGGCTCATGCAGGAAACAACCAATCAATGTATTTCACCTCGATGTTTCTCCCCCCTTTCATTCTCTCTAAAATCAATGGAAAAAAAATATATATCCTCTGGTGAGGATTAACGAAAGAAAAAAAGAAAGATGTGTTTCACTTCTTTTGTCAACTTCTTTTGTCTAGAAATAATAATTATCCATGTATATTAACCAATATATGTTGTCAAAGCTAAAGTTAGTTTTATTCGATCAACAACCATTTAATGAGTGTCTCCTGTATGGTAAGCCCTGTGCTGGGCAGAGGACTGGGGGAAGGAGGTGAGCTACAAACCCAGGTAAGTACAAGTTCTTTCCTGGAGGAATTGTATAGAAGAAGCTGTTGTAAGGAGAGCAGATTAGTGACAGGCAAATGACTTCAGGATTTTAGAACCATGATATGTAAGTGCACAGAGCTGCCCTTGCTATAGCAAGGAGAGACAGCGATCACTCATTGAATATTTGATACAAACTAAGTCATCCTTTTGCCCTTTCAATAACTTGTATCATCAAAGAACATGATTCTGGAAAATCAAAAATGACTCGTTAGCTCTTTTCAGGTGGTCATTACCAATGCAGTATCTTTAAAGTGTCCAGTCAGATTCTTAATTCCTTCGTATGTTACAAAATTGAATGGCTGTGTGAGATTATAAAATAGATGATATGGTGATGGACAATTTAAAACTAATAAGTGGATTTCTACTCTGAACATTTTAATATTTATTTATATCATCTACTACTTAATTGCTTTAGGTTAACTATACAGACTATACAGGGGAATAAAACCAGCTTTTTGGATGTGGTAGAGGCTTCTGAGAAATGAGTAGAGAGAATTAAGGGGCAGAAGCGCATCTCCAGCCAAGGTTCCAGCTCCTCTCTGGCAGTAGGCAGTCAAGAATAGGAAGGTTGCCATCTACCATTTCTCAATCCTCAAACCCAGCATTTATCTGCAACCCTATTTTAGGTGTCATTGTTTTTCAGATGTTTTACACTGAATGCCTTGTGAACCTTTAGTGAAAAAAGGAGCCGGAGCCCTGGTGCTGGACAAAACTGTACCTAAGAATCTAGAAATTGAAGACAAGTGACAATTACTAATGCGTTCAGAGAGTTTGTTCTAGGGCATATATGTTCTGGTTTCAAATGTATAAACACACAGACTAATGGGGATGGTCTGAACTTATTCTGCTTCTGAATATTTAAGAGAAAGATGAAAACAAAAATGTAGCGGAATTAGCATCCACCTATAGGAAGTTATTATCGACCTCATTGCCTAAATGTAATTTTTAGAACACAGAACAGCAAATTTTAATTTCTGGAAATAATTTAAAGCCTGTGGACAATTATATTAAAAGCATTTTAAAAATTTCCTGCTGATTGACAAAAACATCACAGAAAATTCTTTGATTTCCCCTAATAGCGTCAAGAGTGTATGTTCCTATCAAGTACTGAAGCCATAAGGAAAAAAACTGAAACTGTCGTGATGAGGTAAGTACCTGCATTTTTTTTTTTTTTTTTGCTCTGTTGAAGTTGTGATAAAATATACATATTTGCCATCTTAACCATTTTTAAGTATACAATTCAGTAGCGTTAAGTATATTTACATTATTGAACAGTCCATCTCTAGAACTTTTTCATTTTGCAAAACAGAAATTTTATACCCATTAACTCCCCATTTCCCCCTTCCCCCACTTCCTGAGAACTGCCATTCTACTTTTTGTTTCTATGAAACTGACTACTCTTTCTCATATAAGTAGAATCATAGAGTGTATTTGTTTTTTTGTGTCTGGTTTATTTTATTTAGCATGATGTCCTCAAGGTTCATTCATGTTGTAGCCTGTATCAGTGTTTCCTTCCTTTTTTATGGCTGAATAATATTACATTGTATGTATATACCACATCTTGTTTATCCATTTATCTGTTGATGGACATTTGGTTTGTATCCACCCTTTGGCTATTGTTAATAATGCTGCTATGGATGTGAGTTAAGTATGGGTATTTTTATCAGAGAAAAAATATTCCCTATAGAGGTACCTTTGTTTCCTTGGAAATAAAAATGCTTGCTTGAGCCACAGTCTGTTAGAAAATACTGTAAGTCCTCTTTTAGGTCTTTTCTATTGAAATAGCAAACTAGATTATAGAATGAAGTCAATACCTATAAAGTTGAAAAGTTCTTATAGACTAGAACAAAGCTGAAAGTAGGCCAGAATTCTATCAAGTACCTGGAAAAGACTCGTGAAGAAAAGTGACCTTTCATGTACTGGTTCTGACATTCTGTATTTTGCAATGAAGTCTAGGATGTGCTGGTTAAAATGTTAATGGAAAAGGCTTACTCTGGACAAGGCGAACTGAGTTGTGCAGGGTTCTGACTTAGTTTCCCTTTTCTACCAAGTGACCTGAAATCTACCAGTTTTTGTCAGTTTCTGAATGCAAACTAAATTTTCATTTCTCAGCAAGGTAAGACTTGACTGTCTTAAATCATGTATGCTGCTGGGTTAAAAGTACAGCTTCTGGTGCTGTTGCCTCCTACAAGCTTGGGAACTGCACCGGGATATTATCTAACAACTGATGGTTTTCTTCCAAGGGAAATCAGCTCGTTCTCTGAGAGCTTCCATAGAAACAGGGATGTTCAAAGATAGTTTAATGCAGAATATCTTAGAAAAGTGGGAAAAGCTGGAGTTCTAGAACATCTTTTATTTATCGAGCAGGTTGGCCCCAGCACTGAAAGCAGAAAGGTGGCTGTTTTGGCCTGTGCTTTAGACCACATTTCATGACCTGCCCTCCTAGTCAGCAGGTGGGGCTAATCCAGGTCTTTCATGGAGGGAAAGGCTTCTGGGGCACTGTCTAGCCCTAATGAGCCTTCATTTGCATGTATTGTGCTAAAGGTTTAGGCATATCTTGCCCAATGACAGTGGCCATCCCTTGTCCTGACGAATGGGCTCTGCCTTTGCTCGCACATGCCTCAGCCACTCACAGTGGAGTGTAGCCCCCAATCCCCATGGAATGTCCTGTCCCTGCTCTTGTCAACTTCAGAAGGCAGTGGTCTGCCCTGGCCGGTTTGGCTCAGCGGTTAGAGCATCGGCCTGCGGTCCAGAGAGACCCCGGTTCAGTTCCCGCTAAGGGCACATACCTCAGTTGCAGTTTGTCCCCGGCCCTGGTTGGTCGTGCGGGTGGCAACCACTCGATGTGTCCCTTTCACATCGATGTTTCTCTCTCTCTCTCTCTCTTCCTCCCACTCTATCTGAACAAAAAAATGGAAAGATGTCCTCAAGTGAGGATAAAAAAAAAAAAAAAAAAGGCAGTGGCCTGTATGGTCCCTCTTGCCAAACACAACTTATAGCCCGAAACAACATCAGGGGAATGTGTTTGTCACTTTAACCCAACTCCTGCCTGGTCCCCTCAGTGAGAAACAGAAGGTTGATTGTACATCATTTAGAAGCAAAGTGAGATTTTTTTTTTAACTTATCTTTATTGTTGAATGTATTTCAGATGTCCCCCCTTTCCTCTCCTATTGCCCCCCTCCTCCCCGCCCCCCCCCCCCCCCGCTTTTCCCACACCATTGTTTGTGTCCATTGGTTATGCATATATGCAAAGTTCTTTGGTTTATTTCTTCCTGCCCTCCCTCCCCACTTCCCTTTGAGGTTCATCAGTCTAACAACCCAAAGTGAGATTTTGTTTGGAATCTAACGTGTTAGAAAGATTTAGATGGCAGTCTTAGGATTGCCTGTGGACTCATGGTCCAGCTGCACACGCTGCACTCAAAGCACAAGGTGTGACACCCAGAGCTTGGACATACGCATGCAGGGCACTTAACTACGACGACGTGCAGAGGCCCAGGTGCACAAAGAGGAACAGGCATGGGTCTGTGCAGAGCGCATCCCACCACTGGGAGTGCCAGTAAGACGTCTTTGCCAGCCTTCCTGTCTTTGTCTGTATTAAGAAATAGATGAGGGTATTTGCTTCTTGTGGAGCCTAAGAAGAGAAATTATGTCAAAAATAGTAAGATAGGAAAGACTGTAAAGTTGTCAAGAATAATCATATCTCTTTCTGGTTCTAAGAGTTTTCTTCTTAAAGGGATTTTTAATATCGTTTAGAAATTCCTTGTTGATTTTTGTGTTCAGTAAATTTCCTTGAACGTTCTTTTTCCTCGTTTCTGGAATTGAATAAAGTGGTAAACTGGATCTAGGACATGTGCTGAGATGTATGTGAAGTCTCAGTTGCCGAAATACAAAATGAGGACATACCTAGAAAGCTTACAGAGGCTTGTGGAGGAGGAAGTAAAGTCTGGAATCGGAAGCAGAAATAGCAAAAGAATAAAAACAGCAGTGATTGAAAGCCAACGGTGCTCCAGAAGGAGGCACAGTGGGTGAGGAAACTACTGGAGCCAGGAAAGCAGAGGCCCAGGTCTCTGTAAAACTGTCTGTGAGATTTAACCTTCCCCTACATGTGTGACTGAGAGCTCTGAGTAGACAGCACATGTGGGCCAGGGAATATCCAAGCCCCATTCATCAGCTGTTTGCTCACATGCTGTGTGTAGCCGCCTTCAGCAGATCCTCTAGGTGGAGCGAGGCCTAAGAGAGCACAAAGCTGACCTCAGCACGCTGTGGTCCTGTGATCCTCAGCCGAACCCGGATGTGAATCCAGGCAGTGTGCTCCCACACCCACAGAGCACATTTTCATGGTGTAAATCCTAACACCGTCATTTAAACTGCTTAGTCATCTTGAGAGAGTCGGTCAACCTCTGTAAGCACCAGGACGATTCATTGGCTCTCATTATAGTTAGATACACTTACCTTGTCACTCCCCTGATCAAAACCTTCTGCTGGCTTCCCATCGCAGATTGAGTAAAACCCTCCTCCTTGTTCAGGCTGACCAGATCCCCCAAAGTCTGGCCCTGACTTATCTTGTCACACTATTTCTTTTCATTACCGCTATCCCAAATTACCTTTGAGTTTGTTTGCTTTGCTGTTTCTCTCCCTGCTACCAACTCTGCTACTAGGAGAGACCTTGTCTTCCGTTGCTGTATTCACAGAACCTAGGTTGGACCTGGTACAGTAAATGCTTAGCAACTAGTTGTTTAATGCATTGAATGAATGAGCACACACGGGACATGCAAAGTTCCTGCGACAGGCTCCGATAAGTAGTAAACCCACTCTACTTTTTTGCGGCTGCGGCTACCGTTATTATCTGCTTCACAGACTAGGGTTCTGCATATGATTTCATTTGGGAAAAGTTTGCTATTGAAAAGTAAGTTTAAAATTAGTAGACAGCAGTGTGCATATATAAAAACATCAAGTTATACCCCTTAAATATATATGATTTTTGTATGGCAATGATAGCTCAGTAAAGCTGTTTGATAAATGAGTGTACTACAAAGGGCGATATGATCCCATTTGAAAACAATCTCAGCCCCAAATTTTTGTGGGAAAATGAGGGTAAATTTTAAAATGCACTGCTTACCTCTTCCTAATGGTGTGTAGAAAAGCTTTTGTCTGCAGCTGCCAAGCCAGCAGGCCCAGGAGGGGTTTATTCACTGGCCTTGTGATTCATCGTAGGCCACATCCCCTCCTCAAGGAGGTGGGAGATCTGACATTGAATCAACTAAGAGAAGATGAGCTTCTCTCCTCCTTGAAAAGTGGAAACAAAACACCGACTGCAGAGAAGGCTGACATTGCGTTTCCCTTGCTCCTCCAGGTGCTGGCACATCTGCAAACTTCCTGGCAGGGTGCTGGGCATCCGCGTGCTCCGCTTCTCTCTGGTGGCCGTCCTCTTGTTGCTCCTGGTGGCTGGGGCTCTGACCACTTTCCTTCCCAGTAACAAAGATGACAAGATGCTCACGTTGCGGAGGGAAGTCAAGGCCCAGGGCCAGCCCACCCTGGCTTCCTTCACTCTCATCATGCAGACGTACAACAGGTCGGATCTGCTGCTGCGGCTGCTCAACCACTACCAGGCAGTGCCGCAGCTGCACAGAGTGATCGTGGTGTGGAACAATGTTGGGGAGAAGCCACCAGAGGACTTGTGGAACTCTCTGGGGCCGCACCCCATCCCTGTGATCTTCAAACCCCAGACCACAAACAGGATGAGAAATCGGCTCCAGGCCTTCCCTGAACTGGAGACCCCTGGTGAGTTGCAGCTGGGTTCTTCATCTGGCCGGGCTGCAGCTGCCCAGAGCTGGGGGCCTGATGTGGGTGGCTGGCCTCCTGCCTGTCTTCATTGTCTAGAGAAGATGAGGGAAATTTAATCATAAGAAAGCACTTTGGGCCCTGGCCTGTTTGGTTCAGCAGTTGGAGCATCGGCTGTGGACCAGAGAGTCCCAGGTTCGGTTCCCACTAAGGGCATGTACCTCGATTGCAGTTTGTCCCCGGCCCCAATTAGGGTCGTGTGGGTGGCAGCCACTCGATGTGTCTCTCTCTGTCTTCCTCCCTCTCTCCCTCCAGCTCTATCTCAAGAAAAATGCAAAAATGTCCTCGAGTGAGGATTAAAAAAAAAGAAAGCACTTTGGAAAATGTACAGGACAATTTCCGGGACGTCAAGAAGCAGTTTCCCGTATCACAGCAGTGACAGAGGCTGGTGTGAGGAAGATGTGCTGTAATTGCACCGTTTAACATACACTTAGTGTATTTCTTGCCCCCTCCTTGTTCATAGCAGTTTCATGAGGCTATAATTTGCTTTAAAAAACTTCAGTGTTATTTATTCATAGGTTCATTAGTTTCTACAATAATAGATGATGATTTCCCCTTCATGCAGTTATAAAACCAATTACAATTCAAGTGAAAACTTCTGCTAGACAAATCTCTCCAAGAATACACTTCTTATTTATAATTTTGTCAGACAGTACCTTGTGTGAATGATCTGTATAGACACCAGTGCATCGTAATCATTTTTTTTCATTTCCAAGCGGTTTGGTTTTAACTTTTTTTCTTTCATTGCAGCAGTGTTAATGATAGATGATGACATGCTAATTAGTGCCCAAGACCTTGCTTTTGCTTTCTCCATTTGGCAGGTAAGGTTGCTATATCCTTTATGAAATCAGTGTAAAGTGCTATCTGGTGTGTACCCAGAGCATGGTTCAATGTGGGCTCACCCAACACAGTGTAGGCAGCATTTGTCTAAAAGATCGATACATTTATTGTGTGGTCATCAAGACTGCCTCTGCTCAGTTAAGCCAACCTGCAGGTTACACTGTCTTTTATGTACATTTGACTTATACATGGGATTGGGGGAGAAAAGCTAGCGCTGCCTCCCAGAGAGCCGTGCAGAAATGACCTGTGGTGACCTGTGGGTCTGGTCTGTGGTACAGCAGAGACCGGCATCCTGAGATGTTTTCCACAAGGCCTCAGACATGTCTCAAATGAGAGGTGGATTTTTGTATTGATACTGTATATAACCTTCATTAAAAGAAAGCAGTTATTATACCCACCAAACTTACTCCTGATTCTGAGGTCACTGTTTGAAATTAGTACTAATTCTGCATGTGCCATTGCAGTGGCAAGTGCGTGTGCTGTCCTTCTAAATCCTGGCTGGGAGAAGCAGGCACAAATTGCTCACTGATCACCATTCTGTAAAAACAGCCATTTCCGCCCTGGCCTGTTTGGCTCAGCAGTTCGATCATCGGCCTGCGGCCATGAGGGTCCTGGTTTGGTTCCTAAGGGCATGTACCTCAGTTGCAGTTTGTCCCCGGCCCCGGTTGGGGTTTTGTGGGTGGCAACCACTTGATGTGTCTCTCTCACATCGATGTCTCTCTCTCTCTTCCTCCCTCTCTCTCTCTATCTGAAGATAAATGCAAAAATGTCCTCGGGTGAGGAGAAAAAAAAACCCTTTCCTACTGACTATGTGTTAATAGTTGCCGGCTTTTAGAGGTTACCTGAAACCAGACTGCAGACAAACACTCTGAAACCCTGCCCAACATTTAAACACTGTGCTACCCAGTAAACAGTCTATTTTGCAAGATAGTAACCCTCCTTAGTTAGCTGCTTGGGAAGAACAACATTAGCTGTTAATGGTAAAACTCTGCAGACACCAGCCTTCTCCAAATTTCAGTGTTTAATTTCGTGCCTGTATACTGATCAGACATTTTCCACATCAGCAGTTTTTCAGCCCTGTAAACAGAAACTTCTTAGGCAAAAAGTTCTAATAGAATACTCCAGCTGCAAGATTTCTGCTTCAGGTAAAAAAGTCAGTTACCCTAATAATGTCAGGGGTTTCAGGGTATGTGTAGGGAGAAATATGAGGACTGTGTTTAATTAGGACAATGTGAGTAAACCATCATTAAAGATGAATAAATTGGATTTAGGCTTTAATCATAAAAATATCAAACAATTACAATCTATTGGCCAAGGTGATCTGACTCCCTGTGCCTTCCCTCTCATCACACCCCACGTCTGTGCTCTCCCCGCCCATCACTTCTGAAGATTCCTTCATCCTCCTAGATCATGCAAATGGTACATCTTCTCTGAAGCCTCCAGCCTTCATCCCAATCTCCTGACCTTCCCTTCCTCCCAACAGCACAGTTGTCACTGTGTCCTCAGTGCTCACATGGTCCACCCAGCTGCACCACACCCTTCACAGCCTGGGAGTTCCTAGTTCACATATGGATCGTACCCTCCCTAGACTGTGGATTCTTTTGTCTACATAAGAACGTCCAAACCTGTAGAGAATTTTTATTAAAATTCATTTGAGCCAGAGGTTGTGCCTGGAAGCAGATCTCAACAGACTGAAGAAATGCTTCCCAGAAGGGGGTGTGCAGCTTCTCTGATGCGTTTGAAAGAAAGGGAGGTGGGAGAGAGCCAGGGGCTCAGCTCACAGCAGTGATGTTCAGCTTTTTTAATCTCATGGCACATAAACTAAGCACCAGAATTCTGCGCTCACCAAAATATATATTTTTAGCCAATTTGACAAAAAAGAAGTAAGTATAACTTTGATTGTTTTACAAAAAAAAAAAAATAGTCATAGTAATTAACTATCCTTTTTGCTCCAAAGCGACTTTAAAAAAATCAGATGCCTATACTTGTATATAAGGATTTCTCATACCAAGATTAACCAGTCAGACACAACCTTATTATGCATTGTGACCAATAAGATGTAACTCTGTTATATGACCTATATTTATGGTTCAAGACAGGGCATTCACACCGAACAGCCATTGTTGTGTTGGCTGTTGTCCTTTCTTTTGTTTGCTGATTTTTTTTAGTCACTCCAATATTGTTTTACTGCTATCCTTTCTTCAGTCATCCTGATACATCTCACTTTATAATGTATTCATGTTTTTAAAAAGGAAACACCCAGGCTGAGATGGGATCAAAATCTAACATTGTCTAAAATCAAGTGACTTTCAGGAACCTTGGACTCAACATGGAAAAACAGTAAAATACATGTAGGTCCATAATCCTAAGAGATTAAAACAGTTTTCAAAATAACCACATTGTGTCTTCTTATCTCCTAGGATAAATAGCATTCAGACAGTCAACTTCTTAGAGGCAAGCTGTGAAGAACCAGCCTCCTAGGTGACTAGAATTGATTGATACCAGATCTGTTTGAATCAGGAGAACATGTGTGAGGCTAGAGAGGTGGGCTGTAATGGCATTTGACCTGTAAATGAATCAGCACCTGGATATGTGGAGTTGCCTGGAGTTTGATGAAACCAGGAATAAAATAAAGTCGACAAATTTGTTTAATTCTCCCTGTAATAAATCATTGCCTTTTCTACCATGTCTGCTCTAAAGAGATATATACTTACTTGTTCTTTTTTCATCTGTTCAGCAATTTCCTGATCAAATCGTAGGATTTGTTCCCAGAAAGCACGTGTCCACCTCGTCAGGCGTCTACAGTTACGGAGGTTTTGAACTGCAGACACCGGGTTTTGGGGACGGTGACCAGTACTCCCTGGTGCTGATTGGAGCCTCATTCTTCAGTAGCAAATACCTCAAACTCTTCCAGAGGCAGCCTGCAGCCGTCCACACTCTGATAGACGAAACACAGAACTGTGATGATATCGCCATGAACTTTCTCGTTGCCAAGCACACTGGGAAGACTGCAGGGATATTTGTGAAACCTGTCAACATTGGCAATCTAGAAAAAGAAACCAATGGGGGCCATTCGGGAATGTGGCATCGGGCTGAGCACTTTCTGCAGAGGTCTTACTGTATCAATAAACTTGTTAACATCTATGGCGGCATGCCCTTAAAGTACTCCAACATCATGATCTCTCAGTTTGGCTTTCCATATGCCAACCACAAAAGTAAGATGTGAAAGCCAAACAAAACAAACCTCCAGTGGCTTAGTGTTTGAGTGGCTTTTCCATGCAACGGGTGCTTGGGGTTTGTTTTTTTTTTTAAGAAACATCATGAACTTTTATGCACTCTGGAAGTCTTTACAAAGGAAAAAATGTACAGTGCTTCTAGGATGTAAATATCACATGAACTTCAAAACCCAAGAGGCTGGGAGGTCTTGTGAGGAGTCTTCACCCAGGGACATATGCCTAGGGCAGCAAGGTGATCATTTACATTTACATCTCTTGGCGGCCCTTCTGTTCCTGGACTCCTGGCACGTTTCCTCAGGAGCCCAGCGGAAGCTGTTTCCAGGACCAGAAACTCCAGAGCAGCGTTTCTCGGCTCTTTCATTGAAGGACGAGCGCTTGGATTTGAAGCCTGAAATTCCTCTTTAGCAAAAGCCAGCAGTGTAGGGAAAAGCCATGAGGAGGGACTTGTCTCACTCTCGTATCAAAACTGGGACATTTCGTAATTCATGCCTCCCCTGTGGTCCTCCCAACCGTCCGTTTCCAGAACTGACTCAGCCCAGCAGTTTTGGGGCAACATTAGTGCTTTGTTTTCTGTGCATAAGTCTGTGTGACTTCAAGGGTTCCTTTAATAGCTGAAGGATACCCATCTGGTGTTCTGCTTGATTTTTGAGAACACTTACTACATGGATCACGGCAAGTGCAGCCGATGATTTTATATGCAACTGGCATGTAGCAAGGAGTCGATGTTTTACTAGGTTCGGGTAGTACATTTTTGTCACTGAACCTGACCTTAAGGATTGTACATTGATTCTTATATGTTACGTGAAGTATGTATTATTTAAGGAATGTGTATAAAAATAACTTCTAAAAGAATGTTGAGGGAGGGAAGAGATAAACCACAGAACTTATATGCATGTACGCATAACGAATGGACATGGACAACAAAGCCTCGGACGGGGTGGGGGGATGGGGAAGAGGGTGTCAATGGGGTAAAAAGAGAAATATCTGTAACAAAAATACAATTAAAAATAAATAAATAAAAATAAAATAAAAAAATAAATGTTGAGTGGAAACTAGCAGAAGTCAAAACCCTTAGTATCAAAAAATCGTTGGGGCCAGGTTATCTCATGGATGCTAAAGAGTTGTCAGTCTCTTGCATTCAGAAACAGATTTTTTTTTCAAAAAAGATCTAAGGCGCTGCTCATCATTAATGAAATTTTGATTACATAGATACAAGAAGAAATGAGAGACCTGAGTCGTGGCAGAGGAATTCTGTAGGGAGTCTGCACAGGTTAGGTGTTGCCCATTCTGTCACGTGAACTCGTTCTGTGTCCCACTGAGTCTGTTTGGTCCTTGTTCAGTCCTGGCGACGAGGACTCTTACGTAGGCCTCTGTCCTCCTCCTCCTCCTCCTCCTCCTCCTCCTCTCCCTTCTCTCTCCTCTTCCTCCTCCTCTTCTTCCTCTCCCTCTTCCTCCTCCTCTTCCTCCTCCTCCTCCCTCTCCTCCCTTCAGAATGCCATTATATTCCCACAATTGCGAAGCTGTGAAAATACAATGATAATCCTGGTTTATGTTCCAATAATGAGGTCTTTGTGTAGTTGGCTGAGTATATGTTGTTTCTGTACATATGTGTGTGTTAATGCAGTCAGATAAAACCAATAAAATGTGGAAGCTCACTAAATCTATAATGTTAATTATCTGCTTTGTCCAAACTTGGTAGTGATTTTTTGCCTCTTGGGATTGCACTGTCAGATAAATAAACTTTTACCATCCAGGTGCCCTGTGTTAATTAAGCAGACTCACGTTTTTACGTCTGTTTTCACAGATTTCTAAACAGTGTTCTAGTGTGTTGCTCGGGAAGGCAGAGCATTAGCTGCATTCCTCAGGGAGGAAGGGGTCCCAGATTTTGTTTTCCTTTCTATGTTCTTAAACTTCAGCATCACGTAAATTAATTATATCGTGTTTTTCAGACATTATACAGCAAATGTGAAAACAAAGTGAAGTATAGTCTACATTACCGAGACTGGCACTGTGGCTAGAATTCTGCTAGAATTTCCTTTCCTGCACACACACCTCTTGTCAAGCTCAGGCCTGAAACTGCATCTGGGAAGAATGTAGCTTAAGGGTTACATGTTCCAGTAGAGCACATGGGCTCAGATCCTTCCTAGATCTCATATTTACTGAACCTCTTGGAGCCTCGGTTTCCTCATCTGCCACAGTGAGAATCGTATCTACCTTGGGAGTTGTTTTTGAGGAATAAAGAAGACAGCTTGTGTAATAACAGCACAACGCCTGCCCACTTAAAATGGTCAATAAACAAATCTGTTGGGATGTGTTGCTGCTATAAGTGCAGTTACTTATACAACTCACCACCTAGGTATTAGAAAGGGCCCTGGTCCCACCAGTTGACATATGTGGGAAATTATTTCTAGATAACAGTGGGCAGAGAACCATGACAATTTTTGTTTTTTCTTTATTTCAAATGCCCTTTTTCTTCCTATTAAAACACGACATACATATTCTAGCAAATTTGGCATATTAAGATTAGCGTAAAGAATAAAGCCCCAAATCACATTAACAATGGCTAAACATCTTTGTTTCTATTCCTCTCAACTTTCTACCCATATATTTTAAGAGCATGATGTATGTGGTATTTTCTTGGCTAGATGAACCATAATCTGTATAATCAATCATCCTACCATTTTATGTGATCATTTTTTACTAGTATAACAACATTTGGGTAAGCATCCTTGCCTTGAACAGACATCTTTGAACCTATCTATAATGATTTCTTTAAAATCCAGCCCAAGACATTCAATGCCTGAATCGATCTGGTAGTGTGCGTGTTTTAGAGTTTTTGATGCATACTGTTTGCTATATGCGTCCCAAAGCGTTGCCATAGCCACACTGTGACCACATCTGAGAGCACCTGTTTCCCATCAGACTTTCCAACATCGAATAGCACCTACCATTTTCTTTCATTTCTGTCTCCACAAACAAAGTATTCAAATGGTGCAAGATTTGGAAGGATTTGGGCTATGTTAAGAACTCTGTGTTAAGAAGGCTGAAAAGATAATCGATCAGCTGTCCAATAAAAGATTTGGCAGTGGTGAAGCTTCTGGAAGATTTAAAGTGCTAACCCTTTGCTGGTCCCAGGAATGACAGATTTGAAATCCACAAAACGATGCCCACACTTGTTCCTTTTGCATAGACCTGGGCTTTGACCCCAAGATCGGGAGTAGATGTGTGTGTGTGTGTGTGTTCATGGCAGTGGGGAGGGCAGGAGGTAGAGGAAGGGGTGGAGTGGAGAAAACGCTGTGATGGAGGAGGAATTCGGAGGACGCTGGGGCTTAGTTGTGAGATCTGATCATGCTCTACCCCATGCTGCTTCGTAAACCAGTTTTTATTGCTCTGCTAGGGTTCTCCCAACTCTCTCTCCCCCCCTTCTCCTTTCTTCCCTTCCTCCTTTTCTCCTTTCACAAAGACTCTCTCAATATAAAACCCAAATATTTTTAAAGATGCTCTTACTGTGGACAGAATGCAAAGAACGTTTGGTACACTGGACACCCACACTGAGTCCTGGCTCCACTCGGTTCCCTTTTCTGCTGAATGAAGATGAAAATACCTGCCCTACAGATTCACTGGTTGCTTTTGATTTCAAAGGGCATGATGTGTAGAAATGTTGTAGTAATGATTGGTCACGTAATTCTGTGACCCACATCTAATCAAAGAACCAGAAATGTTCCTGTTTAAGGTTTATTGCTCACTTTTCTTTTCCATGCCTCCTTCTGTCTCCACATCTGAAGAAACAGACACGGAGCTTCAGTTCCCGGGAAGAACCTGTGAATAAATACATATTTCTGAAGCACTGCAGAACCATATTCCATAACACAGTGTGTATTTTAATAACACATTCTAGTTAAAGTCAGGTAGAGTTAAGGTAAGCTAAATATAGATTCTCAAATCCTATTTATGAAAGTTTGAGTATTTGGGGCTTAAACAATGAACTTAATAAAGGCTAGGGAAGATGATTTGTATAGGAAAGAACCCTGGAATAGAAAAGTTAGGAAACATTTTCTATCAGCTAGGTAATAAGTTATGTGAATTTATCTGAGTCTTGGTTTCCCCATCTACAAAAGAAAGAGCTGAACTAAATGATTAGTACATTTCTTTTCAGTTGTTAAATTATGTGACCCTAAATCAGAGTGTTGAATTGGTAGGTTTCTATTTTTTTTTTCAATGTATTGATTTTTAGAGAGAGAAAAACATCAACTTGTTCCACTTATTTATGCATTCATTGGCTACTTCTTATATGTGCCCTGACTGGGGATTGAACCCACAACCTTGGCATATGGGAACAACACTCCAAGCAACTGAGCCACCCAGCCGGGGCTGAACTGGCAGGTTCTAAAGGAGCTGTGTTATACCTCTTGACAAGAAAAAAGAACCCCCTCGAGTTTAGCTCTGTTGAGTGCATGAGCTTCCCTCCACCCTAAGCGTCGTCTCCCCAGGAGTCCTCTCTCCAGGCGGGGGATAACTTCACCTTCGCTGCTGTTGTACGATTTTAGGACCAAAGGCATGATGCTGACAGGACGATCAAGCAGAAGATGATGGTAGTGTCATCATTCGGTGGCAAACGCGACTGGAAGAGGTTTCTCTCCTTAGCCGAGCTTCCATGGCCGCTGGCCTTCGTGCAGCCCCCAGGGCTGCGGTGGCCCCCTCGGCTGCGTTGAACTAGGAACCAGAAATGACCAGGAGCCGGCAACCATGCTCCTAAACCCGGAACACACATACAAGTTTCAGTGACTGAAATACTTGAGTCTTTGGAAATCTGTGAACAGTTTCTCTGGAATTTACTGTCTTGCCAGCAGGTGTCAGTGTGACCTAACTAAGAAAGTTTCTAGCGGATTGAATACCTGCCAATAAATGGAGTGAAAATAATCTTAAAATAGCAAACCTACTGTCAGTGTTTTTGATTAAGAATATCTGACGTGGAGCTACAGAAAAACACTAACCCTTCAAAGGTTGAGTTACATGGGTCCTTGCCTGGGTGTGTCATATTACAT